GGATTTCCCCCCCCCTTTTGTCTCTCCTAGTTTAGGTATACCTATGATGAAAATTACAGGCCTCTCTCATCTTTTTAAGTGGGAGAACTTGCACAATTGGTGGCTGACTAAATACTCTTTTGCCCCACTATACATGTATAATATATGCATGGACAAGACCAGGATTTCTTGGAAAAAATGTTTGATTTCTTTTAAAGATGTCATAAGTTTTTTCTACACTTCTTTGCTGTTTCACTTACAGCCAAAATCTATATGAAACCATACCTCCATTTATCAATGGTTTGCCACCAAATTTCAGTGGTTTGATTTCAGTTGACTTTGGGGGCTATATATGGCCCAGAAATTGTTATCCATTCCTGGTTTAATTAATGGGAAAGAGCCAAATCAACAAGTTGCTATAATAAAATTCTTAGAGGAAATTGTCAGTGCTGAAAGTGCAGGAAGCTGGGAGTGAGGGGTTTGAGATAGGACAAACCAAATACCGTGTAGCAAGCTGTAACAAAAAGATATAGAAAGGAATGAATGTTTATTAAATGAGTGAATATTACTAAAGCATAGTTAGATTGTGGGAGCACTGTAATTTCTTTCATGAATGACAGGTAAAACGTATATGGTTTGGAATTAGAAAGAAATCTTGAGGAAGGAGGTTCATACAAATAATTTTCATTATGTAAAGAGAAATGTTGAGGTTACAAAAACACAAGTATATTACATTTATTTATAAGTTCAGTATTATAACTTCATTCCTCCTTTAAGAAAGCCAAAACCAAAACCAAAGGACACTTAAAATTATATATGGAATCAGTTGGAAGGATCCCATGGTTTGGCTACCAGATCTGCAAAATCTAGGTTGCCCTCTAGATGGTAGCAAACCGGTTGAATTTTCTTTATTTCTTTGGTGTCATCAGGTGGTCATCTGGAGTGCTGCAGTCCAGATCTGATAACCTTAACTTCAGTTATTACAATAAAGATGATACAGTAAGCAAGTAGAATGGGTTATGCTTTTTCTTACCATGTTTCAAATGTCACATAAAGAAAACAACTTTTATATGTATTTTTTCCTCTTTTTTTATTTGCAAACCATCCAGAATTGTCGAGGAGCTGGGCAGCCTTGAAATTTGATTAAATAAATGAATTAAAAAAAAAAAAAGCTTGGGCAAATGTATCTATTTGTTACCTGGAATGAGTACATCTCTGTTCTACAAGTTTCATAACTACTAAATGCAGTTAAATTGTATTTCAGTTGCTAGTTCATTATAAAATTTAAAGCTGCTGCTAAATTTTATTTTCTTATTAGAAAGTATCCCATTGAAACTAGCTCCAAGAACTCATGCAATAAAAATAATTTCTGAGTTCTTTGGGAAAGTATTTTTCCCTACTTAGCATAGTGGCTACCATAATGTTTCTGGTCTAGTTCCATGTGTTGGGGTGGCAACTTCCAGAATTCTCAGCCACCATGGCCAGTACTATATATTTAAGTGTACATGCAGAAGAAATGCTGTGATGAGTGGCATTTAGTCACAGTTGTGCACAGGAAAGATTTTCATACTTTCCAGTGTACCTGATCTAAATGTTATTCCGCCACATCACACCTATGCAACTAATGTATACTCTTCTAGGAAGCCACATCAAAAATGCAAGTGCCTGATCTATGTAGGATTCATGATCGGCACACAAATTTTCCATTCATACAAAGAGCCCCTCAGCAAAGCCATAAGGGCTGTTTAGTTCTTACTGTGGTTATCTCAAGAGAGGCCGGTCAGGAAGTAATGAGAGATGCAGTTCTGTGATACTGTTCTCAGGTTTTCTATAATTACTCTTTATGATTTAACCACAGAAACTGAAGCGGCAATCGGCGACCTATAGAGCAGAGAAAATTTACCCAACAACTGTGTCTGAGAGACCTGAAAATAACAGCAAAAATCGGTATAAAGACATCTTACCATGTAAGCTAGGAATTAAATCTATCATTATGCTGTCTTAAACCAGTTTATAGATAAATAAGAATGGGTGCATTTGGAGCATGAACTCCTGCAGGGATGGTGGTAGTTATAAAGGGCAAGGTGATGGACATGGCATCACAATGCAAATCTCATCCCTTCTGTACTTGTGTGGGGTACATCTGCCATCTTGCTGTTTGAAGCCCCTCCTGGGGATGCTATTGCTCCTTTGTAACCTATAATACAATGTGGGGGGATTGGATCCTAAATTAAAGCAATGCATAGAAGGAATGTTTCCTGTCACCTTCTCCCCCAAACAGTTGTACTTGCTAAAAATTATCTAGAGAACACTTTATCATGTTGTAGTGGTTAAGGTGTGGGGCTAGGAGTTGGGATACCCAGATTCTAGTCCACCCTTAATCACAGAAATTCACTGGGGATTACTTAAGGCCAGTGACTCTCTCTCTCTCAGCCTAAATTTCTCACAGAATTGTTGTTGTGGGAGGAAGTGGGAGGGAGTGCCAATATGCCACCATGATTTAAATGAAAGGCTGGATAAAAATCTAATAAAACAAATAAACAAGCAAGCAGATGAAATGAGAATTGCACCCAATTGGATGGATCTCTACTTGCAGGAAGCCAGGACAGAAAATGTTCTTTCCATGAGCTTAACATATCTTTGGCTCCAAGTCAATCTATGTGTGCACCCCTAAGCTTAGACATCCCCTGCATACATACCAGTTGTAAGATAAGCACAGATATGATCCACATTTACCCCATGACATCCATACCACTAATAAACGATTTCTGATACTTTCCAGAACAACATCCTCCATGCAGCACTCTGAGACACTTTTCCTATGTGTCATAAACTATGAAAGTTCTGATTTTGAAATTTGTAATGAAAAACTCCTCCTTCCTCCTCACATATCTTCCACAAAGTCTGCTCTGAACTTTAGGAAGCCATAGAGTATACTATACTGCTATTGTGGCAGTAATGCACAATAGGTGACCCATGGCCTGTAGTGTGCCTGTAGTCCCCACCTCCATTTTTGTAGACCTTAAGCCATCCCAACTTATTTAATTGAAATTTGAAGTCAAACTGATGTTTTTAGCTGTGTGATTGTTTGCTATTTTAGGGATTATTTTCATACACTCATTTTCTTAATTATCACCAATCCCTCCACAAGTTTTAAACATAGACTGAACAATACAGCCACAGTCCATCCAGTGACATCACTGTGTCACTGCCATTCCCCTTGTGGTCCTTAGAAACTTTTTAATTAAAAAAATGGGCCATGGTTTAAAAATGATTGCCTTTCCATTCTGTATAGGCCATAGTTGCAGGATGTAGGGTTGATCTTCCAACCCATGCAAGAGTAGAAAAATCTTCAGTTTGCATAAACAGATATTTGGATCCAAGTCTAAATGATTACATATAATCTATAAACAAGATTTATTTTTACATTCAATTTTATTGGGGAAGTAATGGATAGCATAGAGGAGGCCAAAAGCTGAACATTCTGTTGATGCACCAAAAAGAAATTGAAGCATTTGGCCACAGTGATAGTTTTTTTTTAGAGTATAAGCAGCACTACTGGCTATATTGATCCTTGGATTCTGGCACAGCTAGAAAATATGATTGGGAGCTTCATTCAATTTTCTGAAACCAGTTAAGTATGTATCTGCAAGAAAATGCTTGAAATGCATGTGCAATTGGATTTCTGCTGGACAAAGGTAACTTCACACTTCTGTTTAATAGATTCTTTTAGGATCCGTTACACAAGGCAGCTAACAGCTGTTTCTTTTGTCCTTTTTCCTCCTTCAGATGACCATAGCAGAGTGAAGCTCTCTTTTATCACATCAGATAAAGACTCTGATTACATCAATGCAAATTTTATCAAGGTACAAATAACAAGCATTTGATATTCAGTTGCCCATTAGCACAAGATTCTAACGTATCATTATTTTGCGATTGCATTTATATTTTATCTTTCTTCTAGGCAGTATGGAGTCATGCATTTTATCTTTGTGACAATCCTGTTACCTTCATTAGGCTGAGAGATTGTCAGCAGATCATGAGCATCATGGCTGAGCAGAGATGTGACTGTTGTTCTCCTTAATTTTCAGCAGACACTTCCACACCATAGTGTTTCTACTGTCAGTGTGAAGCCAACCTGTAATCAACACCACCATTTCTGATTTCAAATGCAAATAATACATTAGGATCAGACAGTTCTAGCTGGCCAAGAGGAGAATACAAAAAAGCTATTCAATGACTGCCTCAAGTTGCTGCAGCTTCTAGGACAAAAACAAAAAACAAAAACAAAAAAACCCCTCCACTCCTACTTCATGCAAAAGGAGAATGAAATAAATTGCTAGCCACCTCCCTTGTCATCCATATTTCCAAAACTTATTGTGTGCATTTGTTGGATTCTTAGCAAAATAAATAAATAAAATCTGAATAGTTGTTATAAAGAGGTACCAGTAAAACCCCAATGCCACCATTCTTTTGTTTCATCTAAAAGCTCTTACTAATGTGAGGGTTACAGAATAGTCTGTTGGAAATTTTTCTTTCCTTAGTAACTGTAATCATGAAATAATTGCTGTTGTGGCTTGAATAGAGAAGCTGGGAAGATACATTCTGAAGAGGAAGAGTTTGGGGATAACACGACTTCTGTACTAAGGTCCTAAATTTTTCTAAATTTTAGATTGTATGGATTATTATGCTTTAAAGCACAGCCTTTCCTAATCTGGTATAATGCCTACCTGATATGTTGGACTAGAACCTCTATCCCACACCCATCTCAGGATTATGAAAGCTATAATAGAACTGAGGTCATCACCATGATGGTGAGGATTGTTGTGACAGTAGCACCACTTGGAAAAATGCTTTCACGGTTTACTTATTCGTTTAACACCACTTCCTATTTTAATGGTTCTGCTAAAACTAGTGTGGCAGCCCATTTTAGGATGTAACAATACTGTAAAATGAAAAAGGGATATTCCAAAATGGATTAGATCTGAATGCTTTTTAATGAGTTAGACACACCTCTGTTCTATTTATTTCCTTTTTAGGGTGTATACGAGCCAAGAACCTACATTGCTACCCAGGGTCCTCTTTCCACAACTGTTGTAGATTTCTGGAGGATGATTTGGGAATATAAAATCTTGGTAAGAGACAGAGCAATGCTATCTATTAATTATTTCTTCAATTTTGTCTGTATCTGTATCCAGTTTTATTGTCAGGTTGTCTGTATCTGTATCACATCTCATATAGTTTCCATAAGGTATTTTGTTTTGTTTTTTAAGAAAACGTGCAAGGGTGAGGCTTTGTATTTGTGTTCAGAAAGCAAGGGATGACGTGCAAGTGGTTTATCATTCTGTGGTTGTCAATATCTGCCTTATACAACATGACCCCCTTCCAAATCCACAAAAGGCATTAAACCAATTGAACTGCAGAGTCCAATATCTGATTGCAAAATCATTACATATCTGAACCTGGAAAAAGCTCCAGCCCACCACTCTGGTGGAAATTGCCGCCTGGCAATATCTATTGCCTGTGTTCCAACCATTTGTTTTCTAGCTTGGCTAGCACGGATTTTTTATTTCTTAATTGCATTCATGCACAGATGCAGTAGATCCCTCTTACATCAACTGTTCTTGGGACATTTACATTCTGCAGTTATTTTTCTTCCATACAGTAACATATACTGACAATACATAATGGATTGTGGTCAGCAATGAAAGGAGGCTGAAGTCAACAACCTAAATAGTTTTGGAGCAAAACTGTGGAGTTAAAATATTTCAACACTAAATTCCTCAAAATCTCCAAATTAAAAAATAATAATAAAATGTTACAACTCAAGTGAATTAGGGAAGCTAAGAAAACATGTTTCCCTTTTTATTCTGTTTTCATGTCTTGACTTTTCCAGATATGTGAAAATTTATGGACCCTTTTTCTTTATTTATATATCTCTGCTTACATCTGAACCTTCTTGCAGTGGCAGTTTTCTTCAAAGGACAGTTGAGTACAATGGATTTTTGAACTACAGCACTGGAAATACATTTTGTGCTTCTTTTGTTATGTATCAAATAGTATGCTGTACACTGTGGCTCAGTGACTTCAGGTTTTTTTTCCTTCAGCTGCGTCTTAAAAGTCTCTTGTTTGGAAGTTTTTAAACAACAGCATGATCAGTATCTGCCAGTTTCCCAATAGCATTTAGACATTTCTTTTTCTCTCTCCAGATCATTGTCATGGCTTGCATGGAATTTGAAATGGGGAAGGTAGGTATTAGGACCTCAGAGTGTATATATTTCCATAATTGACATTTTCTTCATGTAATTACATGTAGATGAAGCTAACCCTGAGTCTTTTATGATCATGTTTATTCCATGACCTATCTGAAATCTTTCCCCATGTCTGTTCAGAACAGTGCACGTGTTTTCTTTTGAGACAGTGAAAGATAAAAGTAAGATAAAATCTGCCAGGAGTACAGCTGTAGATAACACCTTATTCTGCAATAGGAGCTCCCGATGTCTTCCCACCTCACCTCTAAACAACAGCCTTAGACCACTCTGCTTTTCCTAGACAAAATCAATTGTGGGCTTGAGTGAATATCTGAGAAAAGATGGACAGAAACTCTTATTTGTTTCCCCAACAGAAAAAATGTGAACGTTACTGGGTTGATGTAGATGAATCCCCACTGCAGTTAGGCCCTTTCTTCATTTCCTGTGTAAGTATATTCTTTTCTGATGGAATTCATAGACTGTATTCTGCTTTGTGGAAATAAATGCCATTTAAATAACTTCCTGGTTTGTTTCCCTTCAGGAGGCTGAAGAAAAAAGAAAGGAGTATGTGATTCGCAAATTGAAAGTAAAACTGAATGACAGTGTAAGTGTGGGATGGTCCAGGAAATAGGAACCTATGTGAGCTTGCAGGGAGGCTCAACCTGGGAAAGTAGAATGAGCCTCTCTCACTGATATGTTTCTGTGAACATTTTGTGGTTCCTGTACAACATTCCCTTCACAGGGTGTGCTTTAGGGACAAGAAAAGCCAATAACATTCCAGCAGAAACCATATTATTTACATGTACCTGCAGAAAGATGGTGGGGTTTCCCCCCCCCCTTTTTTCCTGGTGTATAAGAAGGGTTTAGGCTGATGTTTCTGAACCCTGGCAACTTTAAGATGTGTGGACTTCAACTCCCAGAATTCCCCAGCCAGCAAAGTCCACACATCTTAAAGTTGCTAAGGTTCAGAAACACTGGTTTAGGCAATCCTGTATAGATGCACATTAATATTTCTTTTACAGTATAAGTTCAGTTTGCATTCTGCCTCAAGGGTTAGGATAAGATAATTGGGAACCACCAGTGTTAAACTAATTCCTACAAGTTCCTTGTTTCGGGTACCTTTTCTAGGAAATCAGAAGTGTCTATCATTTTCATTATAAAAACTGGCCAGACCATGATGTGCCATCTTCAATCAACTCTATTTTTGAGTTCATAAATGAGATGCATTGCTACCAAGTACACAATGATGCACCTATCTGTGTACACTGCAGGTAAGATTGCTTGAAATCAGAAATCATTTTTAACTCCAAGAGAGCAGAATTGTTCTGTAATTCTTTTTTGAACATACCTATAGACCTAAAATCATCTTTAGGAGGCTGCAATAAATCATGCTAGCTGGTTCTTCATATTTTACATTTCTGCTGAAGAAATCTTTACTACTGTTTTCATGCCCTATTTATTTTCTATGTATCTTTGTTTTCATGCAATGATCATCCACTCCCTCCAACATGCATATTTGCAAGCACACTTTTATACATGTACAGCAGAAATGCTGAACTCTAAGTTATATTGTTTTTAGAACAGCTTAATTTTGCCCCAGCAGACACTGGGGGGGGGGATGTTTGGTCTCAACAGAAGCTCAGGTTCTGTCGTCTTACATGCATATACACCCATTGCATCCACAGGCAGCATTCACACAACACAAACATATGCACCTTTCCCTACTCCTCCCTTTGTCTCAGTTCTAGTTATTCATTGCAATCAACATTTTCCTGCTTCCATTAGTGGTGGGAAAATGATCAGGTCCCCATCAATCAGCTGGTGATTTTTGGGGTGAAAGCAAACCTGCAGTCTATCCTGGATGTCAGTTTACTCATTCATGTTACACACGCATGGACTTCTAAAATTGGGAGATATAAGGTTAGGGTTGCCAGACATCCAGCAAAAGGAGGACATGTCCTCCTTTTTGTCTTCATGTCCTCCATCCAGCAGACATTAAAATCTTAAAATCAAATACTGTCTAGCTTTTTGAGTGTCTTGTCTGTTTTTGTTTTTTGACTGTTTTCCCAACAGTAGTCATTCAAACTTTCATGTATTGTGACCTTGTAAATTGTCTGCTTCTTTCTTTCCCTCATCTGTTGACAGACTTGACAGCCTAGATTTGTTATTTAATTTATTTCCTGATTCCAACAATCAGCTGCAATCCAGCCCCTTTAAATCTATGGTCATTGTAGATCACAAGACTCATCATATGTTTCTACGGTGAAATTTAAAAGGGCATTCTCATTGATTCTATATCTGCTTGTTCAGATATCTGCTAACCCTATGTAAGGTCGTTTGTAAATAAGATACAAAAATGATTGTATGCAATACATAATTTCTAATAGGCAGTAAATGAAAAAAAAATAGAAAGGAAAGCAAAAATATTACTTGCATGCAATAAAAAGTGTCACATAGCCTGGGGTGTTATATGTAGGATATTTATGGAATGGGCTACAATATAATGATGAATGGAGAAGGAGAAAATTATAAAGGTTGCTTATGGTAATTCAGCAACATGATATGTAAGAAGTATTTGTAGTAAAGGACTTTGGACTGATTTTGGAGACTGTCGTGGTAGAGAAGGGAAGAAACAGTATATTAACTATTAGAGGCAATTTAGGATTGTTGTGGGTTTTTTTTCCCCCCATGCTGATAAGTCTTTTAAATTGAGCCCAGAAGACTTTTACAAATTGATTAAAAGTACTCAATCATGGGAGTAATAGGGACCCAACATCCTATCCCCAGGAGAGAAGTCATTATGTTTTGTACCAATTTAAACTCCATAGGAGTTTATTACATGCAACTGCATGTTTGGAGTGTGATTTACATGCTTGTTTTCCTCTGAAGCATCAGACACTGTTGCTGAAAGCAACTGGTCATTATGGTCTAATGCACAGTAGTTAAGTTTGAATAACAAATTCAGATGCAAACTAGTATCTTTATCTGCCCACACTGAAATGCCACCTTTGCTATAGTCATGGATGTTCGGCAGATTTGTGTGATCCTTTGCCTTTAAAATGCCCAAGTTGGATTACATAAAAAGTAAATAAACAAAATTCAATCATTGTAAGGTTCCCAATGGCTGTAGAAACACTGATGATGATGATATAAGAACTAAGTTTCAGTGGACATATTTAGCTACCTTCAGTCAAACAGTACATCTGAAGATACACTAAAGAGATTTCGGAGAAGTCTGAATATTAGTTGATCCGCATAAAGAGATAATAGCATATTATCATCATTCTCTTATCAATTTGTCATGTCTTTCAGTGCGGGCTGTGGACGAACAGGAGTCATATGTGCCATTGATTATACTTGGACCTTGCTAAAAGACAGTGTGAGTACTTCCATATTGTCTATTGACCCATCTTTTTAGATGTCATCTAGATCATAGCTGGAACCACCTAAAATTATAATGTAATGTTCATGCTATTTGCTATGTTGATGCTATTTTAGAAGAAACTGAATTTTTACAACAAACTGACACACAAGGTGTGACAGGAATGATA